GCTCGGAAATGGACTACTCAGCCCAATCAGTCTGTGCCGGAGTTTATACTCACTCATGCCCGTATCCCTGCTAATTCCCTCTCCTACAACCCACTATCCTCTTCTCCCTTACATATGCATCAAGCATTCTCTTAAATAAATGGATTTACTTACCTGGATCAAATTCCCTCATAAGGAATAGTAATAATAATCAGATGTGAAAGGCGCCAGGTCGAACGCATGGATTATTCTTATTAACAAATTATAATGATAATTTGGTCACTCAATCCATGACCGTTTGTGGAACATTGCAGCGCGCAATTGGTTGCCATGTTTCACTCGCAAAATACACAGTCATTATAGTGATTATCTGTGAAGGCTTTGAGACGTCTCATTAAAATGCTAAGGTGCTGTATCAAATGCAAGGATTATTATTATTATTATGATAGATTTGCCCCCCCCCGCCGGCCACCTCATGCTGCCATATCGAACCACGTTCTTGGTAACCTTGCGACAATCAAACTGTTTGGCCGGCTTCGCGGCCTGACATGCAGTCGGTCAGAAGTAAGTTATTCAATGGTCAACTCACACACACTGGATCCCCGAGTTTATCTAGTAATCTAGTCAGCAATTAATTCTGAACAAGGAAACTATTGTTTTCTTTCCTTGAAGCTGACGTTGCAATTGGGTTCGATTTCACAGTCATTGGCAGCCCTCCAACACCTTGCTCAAATGGCCATTCCTTATGTGTTATCTCAGACAGGAACTATTGGCAGCCAATTCAACCATCGCAGCAGCACCTGACACCCACACACCAACTAAGAAACTCCGTCAGGAATCAATGCAGCAGGAATCAATCGTTCACCCACAAAACACAATTACTGTACTTCTCAGTACAGGTAAACCACAGCTCGCCAGACTCATACGGAAGCTGGGGTGTAAAAAAATCCAGTCTGGTAAGCAGGAATATCCGGGTAAGTGTAATTCCAGCTCTCGCTTTGCAAGCGAGAGGACGCGGGTTTGATTCCCAGGCCGGGCAAAACTTTAAGCAAGTTTCCTTATCCACATGCCTCTGTTTATCTAGCAACAAGTTCTTTTTGGTCAGCCAGGTGACACATGCAGAAACCCATCACCATGCTTTACAGCATCCAGACCAAGCTGAGATTTCCATGCATCCCACCTACACATGGAAATCACAGAGATATTTGTTGGAATAGAATGTGCATTTTCTCCCTGGAGGGACGCATTCTGCTTACCTAGTTCCGGAAAGACCACAGAGTGTGCATTGGGGTAGTGCTGAAATCTAACCCTATCCTTTGGTTCGCAGGGTTAACAGGAGGTGAGTGGGATGAGTCCCTGGCCCAGCGACTGGTCTGCCCTTCCAGGTCCTGCCGATGAGCCTCAGAACCCTACAGAATATACTGTAAAGTGAATTTATTGTATATTTGTGGGCAAAAGCATAGAAGTGGAGTCCTGTAGCTCAGTTGTTACAGCACTCACCTCGCAAACGAGACCTGAGTTCAATTCCTGGTAGCGCTAAGTGTTAGGCAAGTTTCCTTACTCCACACGCCTCTATTTACATAGCAGTAAGTAGGAACCCGGTTATTAGTCGATTGGCAGATTGCTTTTCCGGGGATAATAATTCCTTCAAAAAATAATAATAAATTGGTCACTCAATCCATTTGTAGGACGTTGCAGAGCGCTATTGGCTGCCGTGTTTCTCCCACAGAATAAACAGTCAATTCACATCAGAGTAGATTCTGTGAAGCGCTTTGAGACGTCTCGAAGACGCTATATCAAATGCAAGGATTATTATTATAGAACCTACGACAATCCAGAACTCACCTTGCACTGCACTTGAATGCAAGCCTAGGCTGTGAGCTCAGATTTACAACTTGGGGCTTGAACCCACAACCTTTTGATTCAGAGGGAAGAGTGCTTTTATAATTAATTAACAATAATCCACGCATTTGATGCAGTGTCTTTCACGTCAATAGGACGTCTAAAAGCGCTTCATGGGATTCACTGTAAAGTGTATTTTTTGGGCAAACATATTTCCTGTAGAATGGGAGTGAATTAGACATGGTTCTGGTCCATTGATTTTTTTTGAAGCAATGCAATGAGTGGGAAGTAGATTGATTCACCAACTCTCTACAGTCTGGAAAGAAGGCTTGGTGCATTAACGTCCCATGCAGTGTATGTAAATGGAAGTGTTGGCTATGTGTTGCTGACAGTTACTGAAATTGTTAAAGATATAAAAATGTTCACAGATTCTTCTTTCTGTCATTCTACATCTGCAGAGAGAGAGAGAGAGAGAGAGAGATGTGCAGATTGCCTAACGCTGAATAAATAAAGCACACAGAGGAGGTGGGTGGAATAACTGAACACCTTATTGATAAGAATGATAATCCCCAAATTTAATGAGGTGCCTCTAACCAAATCGTCTCAGAGAGCTGCACAGGTAATTGCCGGCCAGTGTAGTGACTGTGCATTTCGCTAGCATAATGCCTCAAGCTAAAATTATAATTGTATGCTATACAAATACTGACCGCCTATCCAGGGTATTCCACTAATAAACCCGAACCCTAATACCTCCTGCCTCAGTGATCTTCTCCTGCCCCATTCCTTTCCTTGACCCTCAGCTCGACTGCGCATCCCACAATCAGTGGTCGAATCTTAAGAACTAACCACCTAACCTCTGAAACACTGTCCCCCTCTACCCCTCCGTCTGCCCCTCCCTGCAACCCACCACCATCCCCCCTTGCCTCTATCTGTCTTGAAAACCCGCCTAAAAACTTGGCCTATTTCTACACTGTAACATTCCAAGATTCTCTATTAGGCAATCAATATTCATAATAATAAAAAGCTTTACGCTTTAAGTGTCTGTCACTTTTCCACATCGTAGAGTTTCTGATGTCACTCACCCCTGGAGTAGGTAAAGTGATACAGTAGTGGTTTGGTCACACACAAGGGCTTGTTCAGACAGTCAGCAATTAAACCCAAATGCAATGAACCAGTTACTCACCCTCTAGGGGCATTCTTCATTTGATTAGATGGTGTCACCGCTTACAATAATAATCTGAGCATTCGACACAGCATCTTTCACCTTGGGAGGACATCTCATACCCCTTGATAGAATTTACATAAAGTGCAGTGACTGTGGACCACAGAGTCCTGTAGCTCAGTGGTTAAAGCACTCGCCTCACAAGCGAGAGTCCTGGGTTCAATTTCCGGCAAGGCAAAATGTTGGGCAAGTTTCCTTACTCCACACGCCTTTGTGTACCTAGCAGTAAGTACGAACCCGTTTGTTAGTCGATTGGCAGATTGCTTTCCTGGGGATAATAATCTCTCCTGAAAAAAACCCAATAATAATTTGGTCACTGAATCCACATTTGTTTATGGGACACTGCTGTGTGCAATTGGCTGCCGGGTTTCGCCCACAAATATACGGTCAATTCACTTTACACTTCTGTGAAGTGCTTTGAGATGTCTAGAAGACATGAAAAGCGCTATATCAAATGCAAGGATTATTATTATTATTATTTGTAGGCAAACCACAAATAGCAATGGAGTGAGTGACCAATTGTTGTCCAGGACACTGGGAGAAACTCCATTCTCTTTTCAAAGATTGCCATTGGATCTTTAACGTCCACCTGAACTGGCAGATGGGACCGCGGTTTAACTTCTTATCTGAAGGACAGCACCTCCAACAATGCAGTGCATTGGAGTATCAGCCTGGATTGTGTGCATTCAAAGCCTCGACATGGGGCTTGAACCCACAACCTTCTGACTCAGAGGCGAGAGTGCTATCAACGGAGCCAAGCTGACACCTTATGCAATTGTGATGGGTAATCCAGCTCAACTCAACCATACAACCTCAAGAATCAATCTTGCCTTATTTTCCCCAATACCACCCTCCTTGCCCAAGACTGAGCGAAGACATCTGCCAACGCCAGAGAAGCAATGGAGCCTGGGGTACATCCCAATGTATATGGCTCCACAATCAACAACAACATCAACAAATTACATTTGTATAGCGCCTTTCATGTTGGGAGGACGTCCCAAAGTGCTTGACAGTCAAGGATTTACACCTGAGTTGGGGGTTGGGATTAGAAAGAGTGGGGGGGCAGGGTGGGTGAGGGTAGGAGGGTGACCAAAGGTCTGGTTGAAGACGAAGGTCTTGAGAGGGGCCTTGAAGGGGGCAAGGGAGAGGGTGAGGTGAAGGGACTGGGGGATGGAGTTCCAAAGGGTAGGGCAGAAAGGCTGAAGCCTCGACCTCCGATGGTGGGGCTGGTATGGTGGGGGAGCATGGAACAGAGGGAACGGACAAGTTGGTATGGGGTTAGCAGGTCATGGAGGCAGGCTGGAGCAAGGCTGTGGAGGATTTGAAAGCAAAGATGAGGAATTTCGAGGACAATCAGCAAGTGCTTTTATCCACGGAGCCAAAAATGTTTTACTGGCTGCAAGAATTCCACTGCTGTTCTCACAGTCGAGGAGGATTAAATGGGGGGGGTGGGGGGAATGCAATAATATTTTCGGCGGTGGGGGGTGGGGGGTAGGGGGGGGGGTGAGGGGGGAAGCTGCACCAAACAGCAGTGGACTCCACTTTACAGTACGTCGTGTGACGCGCTTTGAGGCGTCTCCACGAGGTAGTAACAAGGCGCTATTCCAAATGTTAAGTACGATTGTTATGAAATGGTTCATTATGTCACAGCTCCACAACTCCCACAGTGAGGAGCGAATGAGAGCAGCCACAATAGCTGAGCTGACTACTCTCTGCAGCATTGGATTTCCTGCACATACACACACAGAGAGAGAGAGAGAGAGAGTGGAGATCAGGGATTTGCAATGCAGTCCCCAGGACCTTCAGCTAAGAATAGGAGACTGGGGGGGGAGAGAGAGAGAGAGAGAGAGAGAAGTGGGTGGGTGGGGGGGGGGCAGAGGGTTAAAATGTGATGACTACTTGAGTCTATGGCAAAGCACAAAGACTGTGTGACTTGAGCTCAGGTTGTTTTCTGTACCTGGTCATCTTTTTGCTGATACCTGGCTTTTGTGTCCAGGATATGGTAAGTGCTCTCATTGTCATCGTAAACGTAATAGATCAATCGTAAAGGCCACGTTATTTCTCGCTGAATTGCATCGCTGCTGTGGTTTGTTGGTGCACCGGATTGCGATGCCGAGCGCTCTCCATCACTCTGGTTCTGATGCGGAACTGCTGTTGGAAAACCAGGGGAGAGAGGAGGGGGAGAGAGGGGGGGGAGAGGGAGGAGGGGGAGAGAGGTGGGGGAGAGGGAGGAGGGGGAGGGGGGGAGAGGGAGGGGGGGAGAGAGGGGGAGGGGGAGAGAGGGGGAGGGAGGGGGGGAGGATGGGGGGAAGGGGAGAGAGAGACAGAAAGGGAAGGGGGGGAGAAGAGGGGAGGGGGGAGAAGATGGGAGGGGGGGAGAAGAGGGGGGGGAGGGGGGGAGAAGAGGGGAAGGGGGAGAGAGAGGGGAGAGAGAGAGAGGGGGGGAAAGGGAAGAGGGGGGAGAGAGAAAGAGGGAGAGAGAGAAAGAGGGGGAGAGAGAGAGAAAGGGGGAGAAGAGGGGAGGGGGGGAGAAGAGGGGAGGGGGAGAAGAGAGGGGAGGGGAGAGAGAGAGAGAGAGAGGGGGGAGAGAGAGGGGGAGGTGGGAGAGAGGGGAGAGAGAAAGAGGGGGGGGAAGGGAGAGAGGGGGGAGAGAGAAAGAGGGGGAGAGAGAGAGAGGGAGGGGGGAGAAGAGAGGGAAGGGGGAGAGGGGGGAAAGAGGGAGAAAGGGGGAGAAGAAGGAGAAGGGGAGGGAAAGAAGGGGGGGGAAAGAGGGTGGTGAGGGAGAGGGTGAGAGAAAGGGGGGAGGGAGAGCAGTGGATGGGGGGAATAGCAGTGGGTGAGGGGGAGAGCAGTGGGTGAGGGGAGAGCAGTGGGTGAGGGGGAGAGCAGTGGGTGGGGGGGGAGAGCAGTGGGTGAGGGGGAGAGCAGTGGGTGGGGGGGAGAGCAGTGGGTGAGGGGGAGAGCAGTGGGTGAGAGCAGTGGGTGAGGGGGAGAGTAGTGGGTGGGGGGGAGAGCAGTGGGTGGGGGGGGGGAGAGCAGTGGGTGGGGGGGAGAGCAGTGGGTGGGGAGAGAGCAATGGGTGGGGGGAAAGGTTGGAAAGAGAGGAGAGAGAAAAAAATATTTTCATATATACAGTAATATTGTAGTTATGTGATTTCAAATATGAGGAGTGAATATAACATTAAAATGCACACATTCAAATCCTAGTAATTGACAATTCATGTAAAATTATGCATTTGTGATCCTAAATATGTATAAATTCCTGTGTTTAGATTGTAGAAATGCAAATTATTATGTTTGCAGCAATTATTTTTTTTGGTGGGGATGGGGATGTGCGATGGGGGTGGTGTGTTGAGGATATTTTTTTAAAAATCCGTTATTTTCTGGATTCCCTGCAAAAAAAAAACTGGATCTTACACCATTCGATTGCAATTCCGTTCACAAACACACACACAAAACACACAACACACAAAACACACAACACACACAACACACAAAATACACACAGCGAAAGGGAGCAGCAAATAAGGAGGAATTTCTATTTAAAATAAGCCACAAAGCAATACAGATCGCGATGGAGACTTGGGCAGATCATCTTGTGCCCAGAATCATATTATCTGCAATACTCCAGCAATACTCAATGCAGCGCAAAGCAGACATTCATCCCCTGCCCCCCCCCACCCCCACCCCCACCCCCCACCCAACACACACACACACACACACCTTACAGACATTCTTACTGAATCCCAGCACCTTGCCATTTACATTTGTTCCAACAAACAAATACAGAAAAGAAAAATTAGATGGGATTTCTCCATCCTTTCCCCTTGCAACCCACCCCCCACCCCCCCACCCCCCCCCCACACACACAGGGAGAGAATGCATTGGTTTTTCTACCTACCCGTTGCACCAAAAGGCTGGAGACAGGAACAGAGGACCAAAGCTATCAGCCTCTCCAAGAAACAGCAGGTTCCTGGTAGATTCATCATTCATATTCCTTGATATTTTGGTGGTTGTGTTTTTTTTTTCTCCCCGAGGCTCTGTGCTTCCTCTCCTCTCTCTCTCTCTCTACTTGGAACGAGTGTTAGATCTGAGACTGTCTCTCATCTTTTTTTCTCTTCCTCTCCCTCCTGGTTTCAGGGATGCTGTGCTGTAGACATCTTTGACTGAGGGAAGTGACTGTGTGGAGAGAGGCTGCGCATTCTGGAGTCCCTCCTTTTAACTCCAGTTAATATCTGGTTTGGAGCATTTTTTTTTACACACAGCATTGGGGCTTGTTACTGAGTCGAGGGCAGTCAGTTTTATTTATTTCAACCTGGTGCATTTTATTCCAACCTTAATAATATTTTTATTGCAACTGAACACATTTTATTTCACCTGCACTGCATTTCGTTTCAGCTGGAAAATATATCATACAAAGCAATTGATGGTCACTTTCAAATAAATTATCCTGAAACATTCTCAGCGTTTAAAAAAAAACACTTTCATCTCTAAATGTGTTTTTTTTAGAAACTATAATAGGAATCACTACACTTTACCGTATATCCTGTAGGATTTAGGATGTTTTGAGATGTCCTCTTGACATGATAGGCTCTGTATCAAATGTAACAATTATTATTATTATTATGTAAGAAAGAAAGAACTGTATTTTTATAGTACCTGGTCACGCAGAAGCATTTCAAAGCGCTTCACATGCCTATCTCTCTGATCATCCCCTACCCCACTCCTCTCCCCCAGCTCTTTCCTTGCCTACACTGTTGTCAAGATTTTAAATTCCATCAACACAACTTATATTTATAAAGCACCCTTCAGCATCTCGGAACGCTTAGAAATTCCATGCCCCTAACCTCTGGAATTCCCTTCCTCTACCCTGCCTGCCCGCGCCTATCCAGTGCCTTGGGACGTCCTCCTGACGTGAAAGGCGCTATACAAATGTAATTTGTTGTTGTTGTCTGCCTCATCGCTGCTCTCTATCTTTAAGTCTTAACTTTAAAGTCGTGGATTGCCCCCTCTCTCGCCTCCTTCAAAGGCTTGTCTCAAGATCTTCCTGGAGAAATGGAGTCCTGTAGAATATTGGTTAGAGCACTTGCCTCGCAAGCAAGAGGACCCAGGGTTTAATTCCCATGCAGGGCAAAATCTTTGTCAAGTTTCCTTATTCCACATGTCTCTGTTTACCTAGCAGTAAGTAGGAACCGGTTGTTAGTCAATTGGTGGATCGCTTTCCAGGAGTAATAATCCCTCAAACAAAAAATTTGGTCACTCAATCCATGGAAATTTGTGAGACACTGTTATGCACAATTGGCTTCCTCATTTCGCCTCAAAAATACACGTTATTTTCTGTGAAACGCTTTGAGATGTCTCAACAACGTGATAAGGCATTATATCAAATGCAATGATTACTGTTATTATTTTTAGCCTTAAATCCTACCTCTTCGACCATGCCTTAGGCTTTCTCTCTCCCTTCCCTGGCCTCTGACTGCAGCTTTGTTAAGCACTCCAAAACCTTTCCCTATCCTCAAGGACTTTATATATAAATACAAATTTATATATAAATTTATATATAAATATAAATACAAGTTGCTGCTGTGTTGCGACTATTTTGGAAAACAAACACAGAAGGTATTTGCGCCTTTGTCACATCCCACAAACAGCCATGAAGATTGCTTAGACCTGAGGTTTGCTGACCTTTAGAGTCTGCCTTCTCTTACACAAAAGACACATATATGTATGTATATTGTCATGTGCATAATCTATACAACCATTTGTCCAAATAGGTTTCTTTCTGAGGGTGGATTGTTTTTGGATTTATTCTCGTCCAATGGTTCTATGTGGACCCTCTCAAAATGCCATCACTCACTGTCTCACTTTACTCATTGTTTCTGGCAGCACAGAGACCTTAAGGCACTATCAGATTAACACCTGTCAGCCTCCGAGGTACAGCTCAGGGCTGGAGGCAATTAGTAATAATAACAATAATAATAATAATCCTTGTACTTGATGTAGCACCTCATCACGTCGGTGAGACATCTCCAAGCGCTTCCCAGGATTTTACTGTGAAATTCAATGGCTGTGTATCTGTAATTCAATTTGTGTACAGCAAACAACCTTGAAGTGAGCGACTGATTTTATCTAGGGATTGTTAGTCAGAATACCGGCCAATAACACTTGTTTGGGGACGGGATCAGCCTCAGCAGTAAATATGTTGTCTTGGCTCACTCTGGGGAGTGCAGCCTCCTCCCAATGATTTCCTTAATGCAGGGTTTTAGAGCTTTTAAACAGAGATGTGCAATGATTATACAAGCTTGGGCTCTTCAGCCTTCAGAGAAGACGTCTCAGCTGGGGACCTCATTGAATTGTGTACAGTTTCAAATGGGGTTGAAAAAGTAAACCCAGAACAATGCTTTAGAAAGCAACAAATCAGTAGAATAAGAGGACACAGGTTTAAGTTTACAAATGGCAATTGCAGGACAGGCACCAGGAAGATTTTCTTTACCCAGAAGGTAATTATCAATTGGACCTCGCTACCAAGAAAAGTAGCTAAGACCATGAGACTGGACTCATTAAAAAACAACTTGATGAAGTGATGAGAGCAGACTGGGGGGGGAGGCAGTAGGGTGGGTTTTCTGGATGGGTGAATCAGATGGGTTGATCCAAACTGTTGTTGTGATCTTGCGATAATCTCAGTGCGTTCCTCCAATAGCCTCATTGGGTAGAGGCACCACCTAGTGACTGAAAATCATAAGAGCCCCTAGGGTCGCTTGGCTAAACAATGGTAGTGGAACTGAGAGCAAAGTGGCCAGATTATGCCATTTGAAGCTCTGGTGGGTTTGGAGATTGCGTCTGTTCGGAACAGATTGCCAGTCCATTGTCTCATGCAGGATTCAGTGCAACACGTGCCAATTCTAAACCACTGGCCTTTATCCGCAGGGACATTAATTATGAAGCCGCTTCTCTGCTTTAGCGCTTCTCAGACTAGTTCTAAGACAGTATAGGGTCGGTAAATAACACAACCTCCATCGGTTTTCCAAGATAGTGGCGATATATCCGGATTCACTTTCACATCTTGCAGGTTAGGTGTCAGCCTGGATAGTTTGGGAATGCTCTCCCTCAGAGTCAGAAGGTTGTGGGTTCAAGCCCCACATCAGGACTTGAAACTCATACAGTCGAGGTTGACACCCCAAAGCACCAATCGCAGAGCGCTGCAATGTTGGAGGTGCTAATGCTGGAGGTTTAACATCACATGCTTCAGATGAAATATTAAACTGAGGCCCTCCCCACCTACCTATTCAAAGAAAAGAAGGGAGTTTCTCCCACTGTCCTGGCCCACAAATTCCCAGTTGAAATTGGCCATTCACTTCATGGCTGTTTGTGGCACATTGCAGTGTAAAAATTGGCTGCCGCATTTGCCTACAGAATACACAGTCACTACACTCTATTACTGTGAAGTGCTTTGACATGTCCTCCTGACATGAAAAGTGCTATATGAAATGCAAGGATGATTATTACTATTAATAATAATAAAGTGTAGTGACTGTGTATTTTGTAAGCAAACACAAGTGACTTTAGAACAAATTATCCACTATGGACACAGAGACTCGGGGAATGGGGAATAAGAGAGAAATTGGGTCCTGGATTGGGAATTGTATCTGTGATGAGTGCTTTGCTCTAGAATTTTTCCCATGGAAAGTGCACAGGGAGTGGGTTTGTCCTTTGGAATTCTAATGTAGGATCCGACAGACTTTATGTTTATATTCAGGAATAGAGGAATATTTGGCTATTTGTAAAGGAGTTTTTTTTGTTAAAAAAAGATGATGTTCTAACTTTTAGTTGATAACTTTTAGGTTATAATTTTTAAGAGCGAAGTAGATAATTATTTGGGGAGGACAAGTTTGCAGGGCTATGGGAAGAGAGCAGTGAAGTGGGATTGAATTGGAGAGCTTTTTTCAAGGAGCTGGCACAGACACGATGGGCCTCCTTCTGTGCTGTATAATTCTATTATTCTATGATTCTATGCCACTTGCTCGGACCCCAGTCTTGTAACAAAGATGTGATGCTTTAGAAAACAGCAGCATCAGCATTGATCCACTGAGAGCCCTGCTGAGCCAGCAATTACTAACCTGCTTGTGTCTCCGTCATAACCACACTGCAGAGCATTACAGAGAAGAGTATTATTATTAACACAGCATCACAGAGAGGGAAAATACAGTAACACAGAGCATCGCAGAGAAGAACACAGTATCATAGACCATCACATAGAGGAACACAGTAATACCACAACGAGAGAGGAGACAGTAACAAATTGCGCCTTATCACATTGTTGTTTATATTCCACACAAACTTCCACCCCATTAAATCCCCCCTCTCCCCCCTCCGCCTCTATTCCCTTCAGCACCATTGAAGGATTCAGCGCTCACAAAAGATTTCTGTAAACTTTGTAATGTGGGCACCAGGTGCCAGTGTCCAGCAATCCCAGGTCTGTAATAACACAGTTAAATTCAGAGCAATGATCCTTCTACACTATCCAGCAAAGTGCTTTAACTCCAACAACATCAACAGCAAGCTTACATTTATATTGTGTTTATACACTTGTATACATTCAAACACTCACCTATAGTGCTTCAACAACAACAACTTGCATTTATTTAGTGCCATTCACAAGGGGTAGCATCCTGGAGCGCTTAACAGTGGCGGAGTCTGACCGAGAGTCAGGGTGAGAGGGAGAGGGGAGGTGACCATATCATGATCTTTGGGCAGGATTTGAAAATGGGGAGGGAGGGGGCACGGCAGAGAGATAGGGGAGAGAGTTCCAGAGCTTCGGGGCACAGTGACTAAAAGCATGGCCGCCGATGGTGGAGTGAGGGGAGAGGGACAAACAGGAGGCCAGAGCCATCCGAGTGGAGGCAGTGGTTGGTAGAGTGGGGAGTAAGCAAATCGGAAAGATAAGGAGGTGTGCGAGGGCATGAAGGGATTTGAAAACGGGAGAGAGGATCTTGAAGTCGTTCCATTCAGAAATTGGTAGCCAGTGCAGCCTGACAAAGACTGGTGTGATGGGATCCAGAGTTTTGTGCGGGTTAGTATCTGGACGGCGAAGTTCTGAATTAATTGTATTTTATGTATGGTGGAACTGGGGAAGCCAGCGAGGAGGACATTTGAAAAGTCTATCTGGAAGTGACAAAAGCGTGGACGAGGGTTTCGGCTGCTGTAGGTGTGAGGTACGGACGGAGGCAGAAAATGTGGCGAAAGCAGAAAAAA